TCAGTATCCACATGAATTATGCGACTTGGAAAAACGTTTTGTTGAAAATAGTCATGATCATTTGCATGTTTGGAACCACAGGTACATGTACACTGAACTGTTTGGGTTAAAGCTACAGAGTAATGTCATCATAATGCAATTTTTCAGTGACCGATTCTCACACATTTCTTGTATGCAAGGAGAACTGAAATTACCGGGTTGACTTATCCATAAAGTATTGAGGCTAACTTTTCTCTCAAATTTTGCACAAGACTACAGGGAGGCTCTGTTTGCAGGGTGTACTATAGCTGTAGAAATCATGCATTGAATAAACTAAAAACTCCACTCAGTACTTACTGCTCCATGATGGCTGCCATGTTTCAGGATGGTGGGCTGACATACTTAGACAGATTTTCTTCCCTACTTCAAATCGACCATTTGGCTGAAAAAAACAAAATCAAGAAATTCACGATTTAATTAAGTCAAAACAACCTTGCAAGGATATTAGACTTTGATACAGGGTTCTCACAAAGTGCCAGCCACTGGCTTAAACAACAACGACTTTGATCTCTGAGCCACCTTCATGTACTAATCGTGAAATAAAACGTGTGTAACTTGTAAAGAGTACATTTCATTTAGGGAAAACACAGGTTTTTTTGGAACGTGACTGAACCTTGACTGTCTAGAGAGGGGGCATGGGGTCAGGGTGTAGTGTACACATTTTCAATTATGCTACTGTTGTAGGATAACAATTGAAAAAAGTCTTTGTAATCCCTTAATATTCTTAGCATTTTGACCTTTTCAAAAATTGATTTGTTTAGTAGGAAATATCTCCAAGAGATTGTGTACAGTAGAGCATTTCAGAGCCTCTTAATATTAAAAATTTTCTGGGGAAGCATGCCCCGAGACCTCCCAGAGGCTTGTCCCTTCAGTGTCAGCTGTTTACTCCATGAAACAAACCTCTACTCCCTAATTAATAAGGACAGAATTAGGTACTTTAGTTGTGCTTTCCTTTTAACCAAAAATTCCAGAACTTTTAAATTGAGGCAAATAGTGCTGAATTTTTAGGGAAAGTTTCCACAAATCTAAAGATTGTTCACCACTGGAAATTTCTAAGAATTGAAACTGGAATTTGAATTAAGAATTAAAAAAATAAGAATTGAAATTCTGAATGGAAAGTGCCCCAGTACATGATGGCTGGCATGCCTGGGAACCTGACTCCCATTTAACTTCACAGGCATGTCCCAAGGCAGTTCTTTGGAAATGCTGGCCAGGAAGGGGGGTACTCCCACATAATTATGGGCTATACAGGTATGTGCCACGGGATAGGGTAGGGTTTTTGAGGCTCTTGAAGTGTATCATTTTTGCATCCTTTGGCATCATGCTCCTGGTGTGATCCTTAGATAGGGTACTTAAATTGTATCAGCTAAAATTGCAGTGTGTAAATGTCCAGCTAAATGAACAAGAACTGAACTGTTAAAACTTTACTATCCATTAACTTCCATTGTCAAAGAAATGAAATAAAGTTGACTGTCCTGTTCACGTTATTCTTAGTTTTTGATTTTCCCTGGAACAGGGTATCATTTGTCGGATTTTGATCTTAAATAAGGTATCCGCTATCATTTGCTTTTTCCTTAAATAGGGTCAGGGTTTAAGACCCTTTGCAGAACACACCTATCCTGAATTTACATTAGTACTCCGCCCCCAAAGGAATACTGGCCATAAAAACATTTTTAAAACAAGAACTCTC